GGCGCGGGGAGAGGCGGGGGATCGATAATGGGCCGGCGGTGCGGCAGCAGGGGGGAAGGGTGTGTGTCTGTGCATGTGTATGTGTGTATGGGTGTGTGTGTGAGTGAGATACAGTTAGAGACCGGGGAGGATGGGGGCTGGCAGTGTAGGGGTGGGAATATAGGCAGGAAGCAGAACGGCCGGCGCTGCATGTTGCATCTCTTGGCAGGCTGTGGGGGTTAATAAGTATATTGTTTATATGTGTTCGTAGGCTTGTGTGTGTGTGTGTGTGTGTGTGTGTGTGTGTAGAAGTAAGAATAGAAGGGCAAATTGTTTGGTGTGTGTGTGTGTGTTTGTTTGTTCCATTTTCAAGCTGGCCGTCTGCACTGGATTTAGGTTTGTTTGTGTGAATCTGTCTGCTCATTTGCACGTGTGTGGCCAGTGGTGCAGTGTGAATGTAGTCAGTGAGCTGTGGCTGCTCCACAGCAGCACACTGAGTAATTAGCCACACAGGATCGGGGAGAGTTAACCAGCGCCCTCCCCCCACCCCATCCCCCACCGTCCCCCAACAACCACCTACCTCCTCATCTCATTGACCTTCAGTGAAGTGAGGTAAAACTGGGTAATGGGAGATGTGTTGGCACCTTTTCAGCACACGCACATTTACTGTGATCCAAGAAAATTAGCAAAAGGAAACAAAAGTAAAATACTGCATCTGTACTTCAAATGAGACCAAATTACCACCTCCTATATTTATAATGTCTTAGTTCAATGACTAATGACTATTTATTCCATGAGCCTCGTTGCTTTATGTCGTGTGTTGCTCTATGACTTTTGTCTCGGACAAAACCCCAGAATCTCTCCCCCTACTGGCTTCACTCAGGAAATAAAAAAATAGATAAGAATATAATAAATCTGGAGAGATTATCAAAAAAGGGAAAGAATTCCCCAGAAAACTTGACTAAAACTTTCTGAAAACAATCCAGGACGATCGCAGTCTGTTACTGAACAGAAAGAAAACACGAAACAAGTGACTTCTGTTCTTTAGTTTGTTGAACTTGGTGTCAAAAAATTCTGAATTAAATCACGAAATTACAAAAGTTTGTAAAAAAAAAAACACTTTAAATGTATTAATATGAAGGCTGAATATTTTGTGATGGATTAAATGTGAATCTATTATGAGAAGATGAAGGTACGTTAGTAACAAATATTAATATAAAAAAAAAAAATCTGATTTTTTTTTTTTAGTAAAAGCAAAGAAAAAATGACGAAGGCAGAGAGACAGATACTCCGGCCTGTCTGAGCCTCTCTACAGCTCACCTTTCCATCGACCCCTCATCATTGATTATCTGAGGCCCATTAGGGTCCATTGTTAAAAACAAATCATTAGGGCCGCTCGATGGGCTTAGAGCCTGGTGCTCCATTTGTCTGGCCTTAAATGGCACTAAGCTCACCAAGCATCTGCAAGGCAAATAGGGGAGGCATGGAGTAAAAAGTAGGGGGGAGCAGGAGAGAGAGAGGAAAAGGGGGGGAGGAAAACATGGAATCTTTAAAGGGGGATGAAGAAGGAAGATGGTGACAGGACGCAATGTTGGAGCGAGAGAAAGAAAGCGATGAACTAAAATAGGGAGTGAAAAGATCCAGAGAGTTTGAGATAAGGATAGAAGAGGAGGAGGCATGAAGGGGGAGAGAGGGAGGGAGGGAAGGAGAGAGAGAGAGGGAGAGAGAGAATGAGCGTGGAAGGAGCCTCATCCATTTTAATGAGCTTCCTGTGTAAATGTGTTCCTGCGGAGAAGGAGCCGAAGGCGGCCGCGCGGCGCTCCTAATCCCCCCACGCTCCCATCATTAAGGGCAGCCCTGTCGCTCGGGCGTGCACGCACACACACACACACACACACACACACAGCCATACACAGCCATACACACACTCAGTGTCGCCACTCTGACAGGTCGTCACACAACAGTGAATTCCCCAGGAGCCCTTGGCCTCACTGCAGGCAGAGGGAAGAAGAGATAGAAAAAGGAAGGGAGAGAGGAAGTGTGTGTGTGTGTTTGTTTGTGTTTGTGGGGACAGTCATCCTGTGATATATAGTATTTTTTTCATGATTACAGTCCTACATTGTGAATATGATTTTTTACAGAAAAACTAGGTGAAGGTTTTTTTTCGTTGTTCTTTTACGTCATGTTTGTGTTTTCTCTCCAACAAGATGCAGATATAGGACAAAAACAGAGGAAACTACACACAGACACACGTGCGCGCACACGCAGCTGTTGTGTGCGTGCCTTGGAGCAAAACAACTAATGTCTGCCACTCCTCCCTGAAAATTACCTCCTATAAAAGGAGTAAGAAAGGAGAGAGATGGAGGAAGGGAGTGTCAGACACAAACTCACCCCCCCGCCGTCTCTCTCTCCTTCGCTCCCCGTGATTAGGCCTAATTATGGTGGCGCAGACGCCTGGCAGCCTCAGTCATGCAGCTTTAATTGACCGTTTTTCATCTGCGGGCTAACGCCAGGCATTGGTAGTCAGAGGAAGAGGAGAAGGAGATGGAATATCAGGAGAGATTGGGTGGCTGGGCAGGGGGGGACGGGGGACTGGAGTGGGGGTGGTGATGGGTGTTTGTCATGCGGGAGCTGTTGCAGGGATGATGGGAGTTTTGGGTGCCTCAGCGTAGCCTGCTGGAACCGTGCGTCGCAGGGCTAATTGCTAGCCCAGAGGGATTAGGGCCAGGTGATTACACACTGGGCGGTGTAATTACATAAGCAGCGGCTAGCAGGGCCCCAGCTCGCGGCTCCGGGGTCACGCGCCACAGCAAGATTAATTGGAGCTGCCACTGGAGTGCGAGGCACCGCCGGAGAGAGCGGTTATACGATTAGCATTAACATTTCAGCGGCGGAGGCGATCGATGAATGGGTTTCACCTCCTCCCCCTCCTCAGTACTGGCTTCAGCTCCCCTCTGTCTCCTCACTCTCCCTCCCTGCATCTCCTCTCTTGCCATTTAGTGAGGTGGGAGACATGCAGGCGCTTGCTAATTTGAACATGGTTGCAAAACAATACTTGCGGTTGCATGCGTCCCAGTGTTGGTTTTGATTTTGTTGTTTTCTTCAGCTTGTTTCCCGTGTATGCTTTTGTGTGGCAGCAGTTGCACACAGCTGTGATTGGTGTGTCAGTAGCAGCTCAGCAGGAGAAAAACAAGAAAGTCAGGAGAGGAAGGAGGACGAGGAGGAGTGGGTGGGAAAGTGAAGAGAGAAATACCAAAGACCCTGGAAACTGCTGCTCCAGCATAGACTGTATATAAAATGTGTGTGTACATTTATATATATATATATATATATATAGACAATAGAGTTTCCCAGAAGTAGTATGGGACCAACAGGGGGCGACTCTATATAAAGTCCTTTAATTTTAATGCAAATCAATTAGGAAACTTACAGGGTGTTTTTGGTCTTCCTTGTTGTCTAATGCAGCTGTCAGTAGTTTCCCTAAAGTTTTTCATTTTGTTCTTCTTTCTTTTTCTTTTCGTCTTCAAACAACATTTTTCAGAGGTCTGTCATCTTTGTGATTTTCGTATGTGTTCTCTAAGAAACTTTTTAGGGATTTTCCCACCATTAGTGTGTGGACCATCAGTTAACCGTCACATGCCTGTTTGCAGATTATATCTTAGATTTTTTGTTGTAATTGTTGCAATACTAACATCAAACATATACGTATCTCTGTTATGTTTTAGAGACATATAATTCATTTGTGTAGATGCAGAGCAGTCAGTGTAGTCTTTACTGTAGTGTCACAGGAGGAGCTGTTGGTCCTCTGGGAATTTTGACAACGTCAGGTCAAGACTCCTTTGACTAATGATTGGACACAGTAGAAACCGTCACAATTATCGAGCTTATCACTAACAATAATCAGACTCCAACCTGAACGTGTGCAAATGTTAACAAAACAAATCTCACAGTAGAAAAAATGAAACAATACAGGAGGAGAAATACATTTTTTTAAAGAAATACATAGAAGATGAAATACAGTAGGAGAAAGAGTTGGAAATGCATGTGTGGAGGTGGAAGAAACGCAAGGGAAGGGAGAGAGAGAGAGAGAGAGAGCGAGAAATAAAGACAGATTTTAGAGGTCACTTAGGAGGCGAGTGACAGGAGTAAAGAGGAGGGAGAAAAGATGGGTTAGACAGAACAAGAGAGGAGAAAGGTGAGAGGCGCCTTTCCCCCCTTGAGGAGGACAAAAGACAGAGCCAATAATGGAGAGGC